AGTGTGCGGGTCATTTTAATTTATATAGTGCTCTGTGAACACAAATTAGTTAGCATAAATCAGTTAAATGACGAAAAATTAGTTGTCTATTTACTTGTGACCACTCGGTGTATATATATATTGTTTTTTCTTTTCTTTTTAGGAAGGCCCAACAGGCATAGAAAAAAGTTCCGAAAACTCGCTTACTCGAGTATGCCAAACGTGTACAGCGTGTGAGAGACGTGTGTCGAAAATACAACCTCAGCGGTACCTTCTCCTCATATAAAGATTTGACAAAAAGTGATGTCAGGTTTCTTGCTTTAAGAGCAACTTCAGAACCACTTTTAAAAATACGGACAAATCGTGATTTTAATATGTCTGCATGCTACAGTCTCAAAGCTGGTAGTACCAGTATTTTGACTTTTCTGTTCCAATTGCCAATAAACCGTGAAAAGTATCCCCAAAATCAAGACTTTCATATATCCAGCAGAACAGCATCCATGGTTCATAGCTTCCGTGATTATCAAAACAAATTTAGGGGTTACTTTCTTTTCACTTTTGTTCGTCACCCTTTTTCACGACTCGTATCCTTCTACCGGGATCGAATCCTCCATCATTATATGCTGAACAACACTCACCCTGTCCCTGGGCAACGTGATGTTTACATTAACCTTCCCACACCTCTCGAACATCTTCATGGACAGAAAATTTCATTTAGAAAGTTCATACATACCGTTATCAATTCAGATTTCCGAAACCTTTCCACATTTGACCACCACTGGGTTCCAATGTGGCGAATGTGTGCACCCTGTCACATCAATTATAATTTTTTTGGTAAGGTTGAAACTATGATGAATGATTTCAGCTATCTTAGCTCTCGTTTAGGCTTAACGAGAGAATTTAAGCAAGGTCAAAGTTTATTATGGCAGCATCAGAGTGCAAAGAGTAATGCATCCTCCGAGAGCATGATTCAAGAGTACATTGATCAACTAACTCATGAGGAGTCGAGCCAACTATACAAAATGTATCAGCTGGATTTTGAGCTATATGATTATCATTTTAAAAATTTTCGATGACATAACATGAAGTATCAGTTTACTAAATGAAATATGCTCAAGTAAAACGATATTTGCCAAAGTTATTTTAGAACACAATAATATAAATGACAGATTATGTTGACAATAAACGATAGTCAGTTTCTTTTCTCATAATTTTGGTATCACCGTCTTATAAACATATTCAAGATTATCAGTGAAAAAGTTGTTTTTCAAATGTTTGTTACAGTTTTGGAAAATATTAGTAGTATTTTGCCGTCTTTATACATAAACTATTTTCCTTATACGTAGAAGACTGACATCCAAGTTTCTAACCGAGTATTTTCTTCATAATAGACAATTAATATCTAGTTTTAATTCACCAACGCCATAAAATATAGGAATATGAGACAAAAACTGAACTCTTTTTGACATTTATGTTATCATTAACAGACAACTTTGCGTTAGTTTATTTAACAATAACAGGTGTGTAACAATCCATCTATAATAAATCCAATGCATTGCTTATCCCAAAACAACTAATTATTTGTAAGTTGTCTTTTTTTCTGAAGAGAGCAAACTTCTTAAACTTGCATTTAAAACTTTTGAATTGATAATACAGTAATACATACTAAAGCATCTGTACATTTAGACTGTCCACTTTGTTAAACAGTTGTTTTTAACAGATGGATACTTGTGAAAAGTTAATTATATAGCGATGATGAGTTTTATAATTATCTGGATTATGATGTATTATTTTAATAATTAGATGATTGTTTATTTGTGGTTTTTATTTGTCCTAAAATTAAGAGTTATTGGATTAGTGACATTTAAAAATCAATTTATGGTGGAAATTAACATTTAAAGATATGATAAATGTAAATAAAATTATGAAAGCTGGTAAAAGTTAGTAAAAAGTCTATAAAAGTCTTTAGACATCAATTTTTGAAGGGAAGATAATCATAGTTTATTATGTATACATTCTCGAATTATACTTTAAAATAATACTTACTTAAATCTCGCTATATAACAAAAATTGATGAATTGAAACTTCTGAATATGAAAATGGCAATTCGAATATTGGATCTGTGTAAACAGATGATATATAGCGTCTACCAATATGTAAATAATCACCCTACGATAATACAAATCGGCCATCTCCATCAGTCATATGCATAAATAAATCGTATTTTCAAGAGGTTGAATAGTGGGGAGGTTATTGAAACCGTTGCCATCTTGAAAATACACAACACCTTGAGGTCAGTTTTTTTAGCCTCAGCATAACGGCTCCAAGTTTTTCAAGTACAAATTTTTAATTCATAGGTCCGTCATCTCTTAACCGATTTGAGATCTAATTACAGTTTTGGACTCACTAGATCAAACCCTTTCGATTGCCTTATTTGATCACGCCCAAGGTTTCATAGATTAATTTACTATAATCCTGCCTAAAAAAATTTCAGTTTGAGGTTAGGCTGGTAGAGATCCTGATGAGTAATAAAATCGAATCAGGTAAACGCGTGCCCCACGCTTGGTACTGCTGGCGTACAAAAATTTGACTTATAAAAAGGAAAGGGGGGAAGGTCTCATAGACTAATTTACTCTAATCCTGCATAAAATAATTTCAAGTGCCGCGGCTATTGAAGATTCACTCTCGTTTCAGGTTATAATGTCATCATTCAGACATTAAGGGATCCAGCATATATATACACAGCGTGGTCACAAGTAAATAAACACCACCTTTTCAGAAAAAATGAAAATTTTCAGTAATATTCACATGAATTGATATATTTATACTTTAATTAATATCTACTAGATCTTCCTTTTGCTTCGTGGAGTTCGTTGCTCCTTTGGGGCATCGTTATATTGTGGGATTTTCGCCCACTCTTGCTTCAAAACTTGGAGTAGATCGCTCTTCGAAGTTGGTGTTTCTTGACTTGCCAGTCGAGTATGGCCCAGAGGTTTTTT